AATTTTTTTTATTTAACAAAAAAAGGAGCAGTTGAACTGTCACAGACTAAGAAGACCAAAAAAGAAAAAAAACAAAAAAACAAAAAAAACCAATTGAATGCTGTGTTGGATTCTGGATTAGACCCTGGAGCAGAAAAAGGATATCAGTTGAAATACTGATAAAAATGAGAATAAAATCCGTAGTTTAGCTAATATTTTACACTAATGTTAATTTCTTAGTTTTAATGTCTGCACTGTGGTTATTTAAGATGTTAGTGGTAGGGGAAGTTACGTGAAGAGTATATGGGCATTCTTTATACACCTTTGCAACTCTTCTGTAAATATGGTATTRAAATAAAAGTTTTCTTTTTTAAAATTCCTGTTCTCTGGGGCGTTATATTCTAGTGGAATAGAAACTTTACTTTTTACATGTTTAAAATGTAAAGATGTTACAGGTATAAGAACTTTTGCATGTTACTGAATTCGATGAGGAAGGGGGTAAATGTCCCATTTTTACAAGTGAGAAAGTGGAACCTCAGAGATCAGGAGTTCCCCCCAATTAGCATGACAGAGCTGGAGTTTGAATACAGGATATCTGAATTACTTCCTTGGGAAACCTGAACTCATCACAATTTGGACCTCAAATTGCATTTGGATAATGTATGCTGAGTGCCTAACACAGTGCCTGGCACACAGCAGGTATTTAAAAAATTGTTAGCCTCGTGACAGTGWTTTACCTTTCTAAATGGTAAAATCCCCAAGGTCTGAGACTTTACCTCACTTACTTTTGTCACTGCCTCTGCTCCTACCCACCTCATATACCCCCACAGAATATATGCTTAAATAGTCAAAGTTTGTTGAGTGAAATGAAACTTTCCTGCTTATGATCAAGGACTTTGGAAATGAGGGAGGTCAAAGGGGATCACAGTTAACGTATGTGGATTCCGCCTTTGAAAGGGTCTCACACTGGGCTTGATGGCACAAGCCTGTAATCCCAGCAACTCAGGAGGCTGAGGCAAGAGGATCAAAAGTTGGTCAGCCTCATCAACTTAGAACCTGTCTGAAAATAAAAAATAAACAAACAAACAAATAAATAAATAAAACTACAGGGTTTCTCATGCAGACCATCCAAGACTGAATCCATCTCAGTCTTCTGGGCCATTTGAAATGCAGTGTACACCAGAAGGCCCTGACGATGCCCTGCACAGCTACCCATGTGCTCTCAGGTGGTTGCATTGCCAGCTCCTCCCTGACCTGGAGTGCAACTCTCAGGAAGGCCAAGTAAGTGCTGACAGAACTGGTCCTGTAAAGAGGTGACTCACAGGCAGTTATCAGGCCGGAAACCTGTTGGGCCACCTCAGGTGGCACACCTTTCTGGAGGAGCTCAGTTGCCCYGAGGCCCCGCCCTTTCTCCCTCAATGCTCTTCAGCATTTTATTCACATGAAGCCACAGCGAGCTTGTGAGCTTGTGAAGTGAGAAGTGGACTCGGGAATTAACCCATCAACGTCAATCAGTCACRGGACAAGGGTGTGGGGATCAGGCTGCCATTCGTCATTGTCATTGTCACCTTACAGGGCAATGCCACGCAAGGCGTCCTCAGAGAAGAAAAGAGGAGATCCCTGCCCTGAGGACGTCTGCGGGCCCCATGTCACCCCCAGATGAGGGCACTGTGGCATGTCTGTCTCCCTCTCTGCTGCTTCCAGACTCTCTTCGGGGAAGGCTCAGGCCTTCTTTTAAAGGGYTCTCCTTTCTAGTGGACTCTAGGTCAACTGACTGTATCTGCAACATCCCTTCACTTCTGCCACATGCTATTAGCTTGAAGGAAGTTACAGGTCCTGTCTACACTCAAGGGGAAGGGGATGGTCCCAGGACATGACTCATTG